TGTATTTATGGCTCTGCACACTAAATCAACGCTACAAGGTGAAGTGTGAAATGTTATGTTATTCTTCACAGACAGAGCAAAGAGAATTCATAACAGGGAAGGTGTCAGCCCATCAAAGACAAATTTCACAGAGATAAGAAACAAAGACTGGGTTCAAACCACTGCCACTCCACCATAGCTTTTATGGAGGCTTCTTATTTCCTATTCACTCAAAGCCAAAAGAAGGAATCCACTGCATTTCCACACCTCACATTCTTCCCTTCATTTCTGAAACCGTGTGTCACCTCCAGAAAAAAAAACAGACTGAGCTTCTGACAAAGACTTTGAGGGCAGTGAGTGAAACAGCAATCCATCAGCGCGACCATGGCGAATGTAGGGTAAAAACGCGCTGCTGCTTTTACGGCAGATGAGTCCGTAACTGCACTTGATACATCCGTTTCTTTATTGACTCCTCTCCTTGTCTTTTGTTCACCTTGGCCTGATTGCATCAGAGCAAATAATGACCTCTTCATGAAAATGACTGCAATTTTCCTGCAAAAAAACCCTGGTGCTGGCAGACTGCCGCAGCAATACACAGAGGAGAGAACGGCGGGCGTTTAACTGATGCTAATGATGAAATTAAGAACGCAAACCAATAATGAGGACAGGAAAATGATCGGAATACGAAAATCTTAAACGTACTAGAACAATCTGTTTTGCATAATTAGCAGTTTCCTTTGTTGTTTCACGACTTCTGTGCAACAGTTGTTGTTTTTCATGCCCACTCACATTTTCGGAAATGTTTCAGACTAAACATGAAGTGTGTAACACCTGGAATATCGGTTATCGCACATTAATGGGATCTAAGATTAGCCTGGCAGCAGAAACTGTAAACAGGAGAAATTGTCGAGAAAGGATTGCATGGTCATTGCAGATCATTCATGAAGATGAAGATCATTAGAGATGATGGAGGAGTGGGCATTGTCCGACTTCAAATGCTACCGCTCTTCCTGAAAGCAGTCTCTCTCATCTCTCAACTTGCATCAGTTCCACAGACTCTGATCCACAGCCAGACTCAAACTCTACTTTCTAACTCCGAGAACTTATAACCAGTATCCATTCAAACCAAGCCGGCCGTTTCTAAACTGCGTGCGATGGTGTGAACTGATCACAATTCCGATAAGCAGAATATCATCGGGGAGGAAAAGGGAACACGCTCTGCTATGGCTTTCTCTACGACCTCTCAATTTGTTTTGACTTCTTTTCATCTTACTGCTACAATAAATGAACTCCGGATCTGGATGAACAGCACATATCTTATTTTAGATCAGTTTTTGTTCTTTAACATGACAGAGAGGGGAGAGAAAGCAGAGAGGAAAAAACACTGCTAAAGGAAGGAAGGATCTGGAAAGCAGTGCATATAGAAAAACAACAGCTCCAATAGATGTCCAAAGAACCATGAGAAAAGTTGGCATGTATCTCCAGCGAACACAGAAGTCCACTAAGCACACAGCTATAAAGGATCCCAGAGATATATTCATCAGAGCTTTTGAGACACAGACAGCCGGGTGACTTCAAAATCAGCACTTGCATTATCTGGCACCTGTGAAATCCCAGAGATGCAGATCTCTGATTAAATGCTGGCTGTACAGTCAAAGCTGTTGTTTTTTAAGGTTTATGGAGTAAACCTATGACAAGGAGTATGTGGGCTTCAGACAGTATAAAGACATCTTTAAAAACAAGACAGCTCATTGATTATGCACAAAGCCCAAATATATTTTTTTTTTCTGAAAGTGTACTGAATAATCTGTACTAAAAAACAAAACTAAATAAAATAGTAAAGTTCAATATAATGCAACTTGGTTAAAAAAATAAAAATAAAAATTCTGATCTATACTATTAGAATGCACAAGCACAGATTAACACAATTCAACTCAGTGTCCATGCAAAGGTGAAAATACCTGAGATTTTTGGATTCCTTGCATTGACTATGAAGTGAAAAGCATTTGAAACCTGCTCTATTGAAATGACAGTGACCCTAAACTGTCATCCCATGTTAGGCATGTTAGCGCGCTCTCACTGATGGGCCAGATAACCTGGATTATAGAGACAGCTGCTGCTGAGTCATGCAACACTGGAGTCAGTGTTCACTGGAGATAATTGGCTGGTCCAGGATAAATAATGAGCTAGAAATTAACAACTGTCTGCATAGTCACAAATCCGCTGTAATAAATTTCCATGAAAGCAACTCACGGCTCCAGAAAAAAAAAACTAAACAAAAAACAAATTGCAAATTCGTAAAAGAAATTACTGGAAGAAAATCAACCAGTTATCTACAGTATGAGAGTGGTAGAAACTGCACGGTTTGTCTCTATTGAATAGGTATGACTGGGTAGACATGATTATGGGATGAAAGTTTAATCTACTGACCTGAAGTGTGATATGGGGAATGTGCATATTTTTCAACATTTTACTAATTTAGCTTCATTGTTGCTGTCAAAACTAGCTAAACAATATAGTGGTATCTTTAATGGCATAAACTACCTCATTGTTTAACTAGTTCTTGGCTTACAGACAGAAAACAACACTTACTATATGATGGTGTGCTTCAGTAGCCCGGCTATTTTAAACCAGCAGATCTCTCAACAGCATTAAACATCCGCCCGCATTTATTCAGGTACTGTGTTTGATGCCTGGACTAAACACAGATACAATTAAGAGGCGGATAACAAACAGGAAAAACATTAATCAACAATGGAGGCAAATCATAAGGTAAACATCTCATGTCATAAGTTGCCTTTTATAGCTTCAGATGAAAAAACACCTGTTGATTTTTCCGTATTGATAGATATCACTAAACTTGAGCGGGAGTCAGCTTTGTTTTCTATGACCCAGACTGAATTAAATTGAACTGGCAGTGGAGACTGGGAGGACAGACATTCTTCACTATTAATAAATCGTTAAATCAGGAAGGGTTTCGGATGATGAACGGCATCAGCATGTGAAAGCGGTAGCTGACTGGCAGTGTGCATGGCATTCCTACACTCAAAGCGCTTCCTGTAAACATCCAAGTACTTCCTGTGAGGTCAGATATGCCAGGTGCATTATGAACATGTCTAATAACAAAGTAATGATGAAAAATTGCCAGCTCTGAATTTAAAATGAGAAGAAAAAGAAGACCATATGCAACATACTTAAAATTGTTACAACACATAAGGAGGATTAAAAGTAATTTGGTGCATTTTTGGGGGACTTTACAACCACCTTTAAGTCGGCATGCTCTTATGTATCTTTCTTGAGCATTACAACGTGCAATTCACACTCTACTGGAAAATACAGTTGCATTTTGTAAATCAATGTAAATTTATGTTGTTGTTGTTGTTAATTGTTACATCAATCCCCTCATTAAAACACCTAAATCGAGTGAGGCATGTTTGATCAGATAACAGCCATACATAAAACCTGGTCAGTGTTCTTCAACAAATTATCTTCTGGCTAAAATTAGTTCAGTGGAGGATAAGCACCTTCAGACATTGCTTTGGACAGTACCAGACGAGAGGGTTACTTCACAAAGAGTGAAGGCTTCAAGTGGACCATGCTAAAATGTAAGGCGCTCCTGTTGTTAGGTATGAAGAGGGTGTTACAGACTTGCTTTCCTGGGGCGGATGACCACAGAAAACAATTCCACATGGAGCCACGGTCCCACAAATGAGAATTTAGGAGAGCAAAATTCAGGTTGTGAACTACAGTACTTTGAGAAGCCAATCCATTTGTTTAATATGTATTTAATTCCTGAACAGGCACCAGTGGAATTTAGACGATTGCATCTTCAGTCTCTCGGAAATGAAAACATCATTCAACAGTGGCATTAATTGTTTGATCAAAATATTTTTTACACAAAGTATTTTGAATCATTATATTTAGTCTTGAAAGACACATAACAAACACTGAGTTAGAGTACCAAGTAATGAGAAGATATTTTTGTGACAAAACCATATGGCAGGCATCTTTATTAAAACAATTCTGACAACATTACAGCACATAATACGTTTATCCGTCCTCAACTGCCCCAGTCTCTTGGCCTCTAGCTACATTTGTATTTAATTCTCTTAGTGAGTGGATTATGGGAACCCAATTAATGGCACCAGAGTTTGTAAATACAAATACAAATGAAAAACAAATATCTCAAGCAAAAAACAACAAAAGTAATGGAATAAGCTTACAATACACATCAACTTTACGTCCATATAATTCATGGAAAATATAAGAAATGTTTTATCGCTTCAAGGCTTTTTTTGGATCACTGACCATTCAATATGAGAAATGAAACCCTTCCTGTTTATTGGACGACAGAAAATTTGTGCAGGACCCAGTGTACCTCTGCTCAGATTTTCATCAGGCCTTTTGTTCTTGCAGAGAATGGAAATCTATACAGAGCAAAACAAATGACTCAGAATCAACAAATCAAAGAAAACAACAAAAGAACTGATAAGTTTTCCTCTGTCACACACAAAATAGACAGAAAATGTGCCACCCAGTTTATGGAAGTGAACTGTGTGGGTCTGTTCAACTCGTCAACGTGTATATGAGGAGATGTTTTAAGAGAAGAAAACCATCTTTCCTTCATGTGATGTTGCTTCCTGACATGCACCACCTAAACAATTCTGAGAAGGGTATCTGTCATAAAGCTACCCTCTTCCTCTCTCTTTCTCTCTCAGTGTGAGGGTTAACACTGAGGGTGGAGGGGGGGCAAGCCCCCTTTTCCGAGACCCCCAGAGTCAGGGATACATAAGCAACATGAGGGACTTGGGCTCCTTATCCAAGACAAACAGCTCTGATACAAACCGACTCTCTTCACACTGATTCTACCAGACTTCCAATTCACAAAAGGGAAACGCGCACATCACGGCGAGAGAACTCCATCAGAAACCTGCTCTCAATCTCAGCGGCGCTGTCACACACTTGCACACAGATATACAAACACATTCACAGCCACACACGCACCCAGCCGCGCACACACACTGAAGAGCAAACAGTCTCTCTCCCTTTCTCTCTCGCTCTCGCTCACCCACTCTCCTCTCCCTCCCATCCACACGAGCACACCAATACAGTATATCAGCTAGCGACTGGCAGGGAAACAGAGGGGAGAGCAGAAATGAATGTGAAGATCTTGACGCTGGTGATTGTGCTGGTGGTTTCTCTGCTGTGTTCAGCCAGTGCTGGTAAGTCAGGAGCGTGACGGCTGTTGCCCGGAGCCTCCCCGTGTTTATCTTTTTCTCTCTGCTGTTAGCCTTGGGCTTGGGAATGGGAATGGGCAGCTGTAGTTGATCAGTTACCCAGCATGGTTAGCCTTCTGGGGCTGGGGAGAGGAGGGAAACGGCACCTGGCTGCGTGCTGTACTGCACTGCAGAGGTTTGGCTTGTTATTGTGCCCGTTTAATGAACTTAATTGTGCCATTGGTGAATTGCTTGCCGACTTTACCATGTTATATGTAGGAAAATAATGGCCATCATTATGATGATGATGATTCTTCCTGGTGTCATGTAACGCTTGGCTTTCTAGAATTATGTACTCCTGGATGTCATAAATGTATTTGCATGTGATTGTAGTGCATGTAATTAGGTGTTAAATTTGGATAATTTGGATTTCACAATGAAAACCCCAATATTATGTCTTAAAAGGTGTATTTGACTCTTTTTCTGTTGGGCTGTGCCACATCATGGATGGATTCTCAGTCTCTCTGGTCTGAAGCTACATAGATAAGAGTTCTTATGCTTACCCTCAAATGATTTATTCCAAAAAACAATCTGCTATTGTACTGTTATGTAATTCATGCTCAAACACCATGGCATTTTTCATCTGCCTCTACAATAAAAGCTTTTATGAAGAATGTCACACAAGTCTCAAAGCTCTGACCGAGAGCTCGAGTCAGGTGACCGGTGGCCACCCTGCAGATGTGATGCAGGTAACAGGCTCATGTTAAAAAACAACTGTGGCCCTTGTGTAAACGCTCACATCTCTCTAAAGTCCGACTGCTGGGAAGCATGTGTGTTTGAAGGGTGCTGGCTAGCGGCTACTCTACGTATCAAACGGCCCCTTACGCCCTGCATTTCCACACACGTTTGTTACGGAGATGCTGCTATTTTGGTCTCCGCATGAGTAAATGGGAAGCAATTACCTTGCATTATGGTCAGTGTCGTTTTTCACTCTCCCTGCATGTGTGTGGAGTCTGAGCCTGATCCTTGGAAGGACAGGATCAGGCTCGGTAGCTACGGCTGCTAACGTCTGATCCGGGTCAGACTGCCTGCTTGTCGTTATTAGTAGTATTATCTCCATCATGAGATGGGGCTGAGGGAGCCGCGGGGAGCTGGAGCTGTGCGCTGTAGCGGGAAGGTGTTGGAAGCGGCTCGGTGTGTAGGCAGCGGGTGTGAAGCCTTTCATCTTCAGACAAATGCTTTTCCAGTACACTGGGAGTTTGCTGGAAATTGCCATCGGTCTCAACCGTACGACAGGGGTTATCTGTGCACTGCTTTCTCTCAGGTTGAAAGAGGGTGGGGACGCGGAGGAGAAGTCATGGTGCAACAGGCAACAACGGCTTTGCTACCGCATGCATTGAGTGTCACCCAGCAGAACGGCTGTGGCCCTGCTAATCTCGTCTGCGCATACCTCAATCTGCTCGTCTTGTAATGGGCTTCCCCTCAAGAATGGGCAAATCTTGAGCGCATTGAGCTGTTCATAATTCATCCTGAAAGCAATCAGTATTCCACTCTCATGTCTGGTATGTAAACACTTCAATATTGTGGAAACAGTTCAGCCACTCTGAGTTGTCAGTCCGAGTCTGGTATCGACGCATCATCTTTCAAAGTCACGGAAGCCTTTCAAAAATACAGTCTCGAGAGCAAACACGCATGCGTATACACGCACAGAAGTCCTGAGATGGTGTAATTTTAGCTACTAGGTTTGTCCTCTTTGTCCAGGTGAGGGTGTGGAGACCAGATCTTGCTCATTATCTGTTTGGAAAAGGGAGATTTGATGCAAGCTGTCAACAATGCTATTAAACTTTGAAGTAGCGTTAGAGATCTTGCGCGGGCTTGTCGCTCGCCGTGCATCCTGGAGCGGCGTGAGACCCCTGCAAAACAAATATAGGGCTCAATAGGAAATCTTCAGCCACACAATGTTTCTTTTTAGAAGTAAACGGGGGAAGAGCAGGATATTTTGTGAAATAACACCAGTGGTCCTTTGCTGACACCATGCAGGAAGCATTAAATCATAATTCCATGAGTCCACCTAATGTGAAGAAGGTGTTTGTGGTTATGCACTTGATTATAGGGGCCGTGGAGAGTACACAAACAGCCAAACTTTTCCAGATGTCCAGTGATAACATGATAATAGTATCGGAACAGCATGAAGGAGATGAGCGCTACAGAAAAGTCATTACAGGATTATGGAGAATCATTCAGCGGTGCTTTGAGGCATGATGGATTTTTGGCCGAGTTCCTCTCTTTCACAAGCATGCACACACACATACGTGCACATGCTCACATACACATACAGAGGGACAGTGACTCAGATCTATTTTATGAGTAACCTGGATATCCTCTATGGTTTCACTGTAAGGACTGCAGCACGATTTGTCAGAGACTGTAACACAGAGGGATGTGCAAATAAACTGCAATAACGAATTTAATGTGATGTAACAATATGAAAATACAAAAATGGATATACTTTCATCGTTTACGCACCCTCATGTCATTCCAAACTCACAAGTTTTTTCAGTTTCTGACTACAAATTGAAAATGTTGGATGTTCACGCTGCTTTTTTTATGCAATGAAAGTTAGAAGGCTATCAAACTACAAAAATGAACACAAACCACCATAAATGTAACATAATAGTAATATCATAATAGTAAGTTATCATAATAGAATAGTAATAGTAATGACTTTTCTGCTGCATTTCAAATGTTCTAAAGCCTTATGATAGTTCAGTATAAAAAAAGACTAAAATTGAATTTGTTATTCACAAAAAAAATATTTTTGCAATTTGAATATGTGCATATGTGTCATGTTTAAATATGCACAAACATGAATGAGCTGTGGAGAAGATGGGGAGCTTATCAGTGAATATTACATTAAATTAAATTTAGTTTTATCTGGCATCAGAAGACTTAGAAAATAGTTCAAAAACCATATGGACCACTTTTTTGATACCTCAATAGTGCTTTTTATTGTTTTTGGCACTTTCATTGGAAGAGCAAAGGAAAAGAATAGCGTGAACACTCCCCTAAACTCATTAAGCTTCTCCTTTTGAAGCATTCACGTATCTCAAACAGTTGAGCATGGTGCTAACAATCATGGTTTTGATTCCCAGGGATTGTATTAACTGATAAGATGACAGTTGCTTTGGATTAAACCATCTGCCAAATGAATAAATATAAATGCTTCATGTAAGAAAGAAAATCAAAAAAGTTTGGAACTGAAGACATGAAGGTGGCATTAAGGTGATGTATTCACTGAACAATTAGTACTTTATATTAACATACATGTGTATATTAATGTAATTTGTAATGTAAGTTATATAGTATTTTTTTACACACATAATGCCCTTTCAAACAGATCAAGCAAAGGGTCATCTGCAGTCTCTGCCAACTTGTTGCATCCTTTTATAAATCCTTCAGAAATATCTGCCTGAAGCTGTGGAAGTCGTTATTTTTCCGGCTACATGGCTTGGCAGAGCAGAACCAATAAAATACTGCCCTTTATAAAACAGAGTATATTTTCTGAGCTCTATTATAACTCATGTGGTAAAGACATGGGGTAACCTTTGAGAAAAGCTCCCAAGTGGCAGTACGGTGGATGTCTTGACGTGTGTGATTGCTATAGACCAGCATAATGCAATTCAGAGCACTCTGAATAAATCAGATCACCTCCACCATCAGACATAAACAGATGCAGAGGAGAAATCCTGAAGGGTGCTGATGGAGGAGAAAGAAAAGAAAAAAAAGCGATTGTACAGCCTTCTGATGTGGCGAGAAACACAGCCGCTAAAATATTAAAAGGTCTTTAAAACTTCACTGCTGGTGGTCTTCCCGAATTTGCAGGTGGACAAATGCGATGAATATAAAGGGCCCGGTGCCAAAATTGCATCAAATGGATGCTTGCTAACTGCTCTCTCTCAGAGCCACACTTCTGCATCTGGCTTAGCTACATGCCGCCTGTACCCACAAGCAAGCTGACGAACCATTAGCTAGGCCCCTTCCACTAAACATCAGAAAACATATCCCCTCAACACCCCCAAAAATCTCCCACTCTTTCCCCAACTTTTTAATTAAAGCCAGATACACCGAATGCCTCGCTGCGTCCACAGGGGCCCTGTATTAACCTGATTTATGGCTCCCTTTTCAAACATTAAACATTACATTTATTGGGGTTGCTGATCAGATATGATCAGAGTGGACATTTTTATGAACAGCGAAGCAAAATGCTGTATAAATATTTCAAGTCAGGGAATAAATGTGCTTTAATTATTTTCATGCTCAATTTGAAGAGTAAGGAACGAAAAACACAATTGCAGCACACAGGGCTGGTTTTGTTCGCAGTTTATGGCATAAAAATAGTGAATTGTTGTTTGCACTTCGATTGTGAACTTTCCCAGGTTATTTCAGAACATCAAACCATTAGACTGATGTAAGGCTTCTGCTGTGGGTACTTCATTAATAAATCTCCTCAGAAATATAGAGCTAGCGTTTTGATTGCTCTGAGTGGTATGGATGTGAGAAACTGACCGGATTGTTTATGTGAAGTGTTTGAGAGTTTTTGGAACACTTTACTGATGCCCCCACTGGGACTATCCATAATTCCAAGCCTTGAGGTACAGGATATCTGTGTTATGCCTTCAATTTTATTGCTCTAAATATTATACTGCCAATACAAGACCAAGCCTCAATGTGTTCTCTGAACTCTTTTAACAGAGGGCCATGCACATTAAATGTAGTGCCTCTGAACATATTATTGCTTATGAAGCAATTATTATGAACTATTCTGATAAGTATACTGAACGTTTGAATGTCATCCAATTTGTTGTAAAGACACTGCATATCTGATACAGTAAGAAATTTGTTTTTAAAATGTCCAGAATGTACAATTTAAAACTGAAGGTTATTAGGTGTCAAAGCAAATCTTAGCATGCTTTATCACTTCCTGTCTTTCAGTATAGAACAAATTA